TAAAGCCCATAATATAAAAATTTTATAGGAAAAATTTGGTCACGTGACCCCAGCTGCAAAGGGCCTATTACGGAACCATTCACCTAACGTACCTGCACAATCTGGCCAGGGTAAATCAGTACTGTACTCTTGGCTTGGTAGAGCGTAAAATTGCCATACTCCGTCTTGGCAGAAGTAGTACAAAGGAGGGTTGAACACGAAGTCGTTGCCACTTTGACACTGCACCTGGCAATATGTGTCTTCTACAATCGTGTTGCAAGCCAAGGCACCATTCTCCGGAGGTTCATATAGTGGACACGTCAATTCTTCAAAATAAAGTTGGGTAATAAAGGTAATGATTTGAAAAAAATGAACCTGAAACCTAAAGCTTGCATTCTTGTGATGGAGAGGCCATTGAAATGCATAAACTCTGTGTTGTTGTTGTTGTTGTTATTATTATTATGATTATTATTATTATTATTATTATTATTATTATTACTAAGAAAATGAGAACTCATGGTGAACTAACAGGGAACTGGTAAAATACCACTGAAACGGTGAAACTACAGAAAGCTAAAGAGGGCCCATATTAACTCGTGAGAACTCCGTCTCCGGGATAGGAAAATCTATCGAAAGGACTTCATCTTGCAGAGAGATACATGCCATGGAGATCATGGAATACTCGCGGAGAACATGAGGAACAACTGAAAAGTGCTGTTGAGTATAGTGACTAAAAGATCTAGTCCTCACTGATTTAAAGGTAAATATTTTGTGGAAATTTCCTGCAATTACAATTCAATTTTTCACGCGACGAGCCAAGTACTCACTCTCGATTGTAATTCTAAATGAGCAGTCTAAGTTTTCGTTCTTGTTGTCATCACGGACGATGTAAAACACTTCAGTGGCACTGGGAACCGAGAAATATGAACCAGGTTGTCTCTCTGAGTAGATGTAGGGCGGTATTCCGGAGTTGTCGGTACATTCGGGGTGGTCCCAGTTTACAAACTCTTGAGTACCAGTGGCGTTGACGATGGTTTGGTCCGGTGGACAGAAACCACAGACTGGAGCCTCAGTATCTACAGAAATTAAAGTAGTAGGATCATAAATCTCTTCAGCTTTCCATTCAACCAGGCGCACACAAGAGGTTACGTTGTAGAGAGAAAATCCTGTACTATTCCCCCGGGGCAGTGTGACTAAAATCACAACATGTGTAAACACAAGAAAATGAATCGAGAAAATGTTGAAACGTCTCTACTTACCATTTACAAAATAAGTAAAAGTACAGGAATCTGAGTTTCCAGCAACGTCTGTCACAACGTATTTCACTGCGTTTGTGCCGATCCCTAACAGCTTGGGAAGAGTTGTATCCACATTGACATCGTTTATCGTCAGTACGACGTCAAAGAGATCCTCCGTAATTCCAGGCTCATTCTCCGTCAGAGAGTTGTCAGTGAATGAAAAATTCCAACTAACAGATGATGTATTTTTCCCTGCATCGTTGCCTACAGTAGTATCGTTGGGGCAGGTTAATGTAGGAGGTTGATAATCTAAAGAGAGATATAAACAGGTGTTATTAGCGGAGTTTGTTTGTTTTCTTTCTATTATATATTTGCTTTTTAGGTTTGTTGACGGCTAGGTTACAAAGACCTCAATTATCGTAAAATCACGATTCAAAGCCCAAAATTTCAAGTAACAAAGAAACAATCAAATAATTCTCAACAACGCATTTAAAGACGCTCGCGCTGGATTCACAGGTCAAGGTGAAGGCATCCAGTGCACTACAATTCACTACAGACAATACAGTGTAGTGGGCGGCCGCAGTAACTTTGCGCGGATTTAATTTGGCAATCTTAAACGTTTCCTGTCGCCTGTTGTTTCTGATAGATCATTTCTACGTCTTGCGACAAATGAAAAAAAAGCAATCACCACCCCACCCCCCACCCCCTGTTCTTTCCGCAACATCGAGTTCTGCTCTTTTAGCTCTCCTTTGGCGACTTTGACGGTTAGACAGCTTCTCATGGCTGAAATCAAAAATATATATATCTATACTAGTTAAAACATATTCAATTTTACTAAGCTGCAATGCTCCCAGT